GGTCAGAAGCAGGCAGTGGGTGAGTGGTCCACAGGCCCCTAAGAACATTGTTTTCTTTTCCTTCCATTTGTTCGATTCCCTGTGGCTTTAAATCATCCCACAGACCAAGGCCTGGGCCTACTAAAAATGTGAAACTTCCCAAATAAGCTATATTCCTTGAAGCTGCTTGCCAGGCTTCATCCTGAAGCTAAGCCTGGGGACTAGGAAATGCGGAAACAGTAAATATGGTCGGGAGAGCTCATAGTTAGGGCTCCCCATATGTGTTTTCCTATTTCCCTTCTTCACACCAATGCCGGGGCTTATGGACCGAAGCTCTGGGGAACTAAAAGCATGTTGCAGGCAGAATCTCCGAAAGGCTGTTTCTCATCCCACTCCCAGGATTTTTTCAAGCGCTTTCTTCCTCTGTCATTGCCATCAAGCTGAGAGGCTGTACCTGCAGCAAAGGAACGCACCCCCTCGGAGTGGAACTCACCCCCCACGCCCGCAACGCTCCAGGGCCAGCTGGAAAGTTCTCGGCCTTGGTTTTGAATCAATCATGAAATGCTGAAAAACGCTCAGAGTATTTCTTTCATCTTTACTTCTCAAAAAACAAACATCCCAAAGTAAAAAAAAAAAAAACAACAAAAAAAAACCACTGACTCATCCCTGCCAAACTGTGCTTTCCAAAGGAAGCCAGTCAGCAGATTCAAATGAACAATGAGAGAATCCCATGATACCAAAATGATTCAAACCCGATGCTTTAGAGGCTGACATCCTGAGCTGAAATAGCCACAGGTCACCATCTGGCCTGATTTGGGGGCAGTCCTTTTTTGTGTGGTGGCAGAAGAGGTGAAACTCTTTCTAGTCTACAGTCAGACAGGCTTCTCCCGTTATAGAAAAGTTATGAGTCTAGGCTCAACTTAGTGGTTGGTGAGCTATATTAAGAATCATATCCTCTCCTTCAAAGTCTAGACGATGTATTTGTAGCTCTGGCTTATCTCAGGGGTTATGGATCCCAGGGACCAGAGCCTGAAGTCCTTACATGGATGGGTTCACTGTAACGCTTAAGAACTTCTCACTGAAATTAGCAGACATAATTTGACAGACACTTGGAAAGGATTACCCCTAATTTGGTTGAAGGCCAGGTTTGGTGGTAAATTCTTTTAAAATCTTGGACTTTAGGAAGTACAGGTTGAAGATGAAAGTAAGACATGTTGAAAAGATGATATTAAAAATGTAATTTAAAACTGGGAGGCTGATGCCTGGCGGAGGACAACTCTTTCTTGACTTGCCAATTCCTGGCCTTGTCTGTCTCCTCACTCGGAAGAACCCAGATTATTCACGTGGTGGATGTCTGCAGTTGCTCTGCATATGGTAAGTTCTAGCACTCTACAGACTGGTCACCTCCAGAGAGACTGAAGAGATCAAGAAAACACGTTCTGGCAATTCCACCCGGTTCAAAGGATAAGTATGTGTCCTTAATATGCAAAGGAGAAAAGGCATCCAGGGCAATCTGGAGCAATCATTGTCACCTTTCCAGCTTCTGTGTTGATGACATCAATTGACAGATGCCAGAGAAATAATTTAAAATAAACGAGAAGGAGTTTTCCATGATTCGCTAAAGTGGTAGGAGTATTTGTTATTTAGGAAAGCTTGGAACCATTTGTCAGCTGCTACCTAAAATTTAGCATTTAACTATAATTATGCCTAGTTAGGAATTAAGCAAAACAGAAAGTGTTTCAACATGACCAGCTAGCTGCTACAGATTCCAACTGCTTCACAATTGAATTTTTTATTTAATCATTTGTTCTGTTTTTCGTTTGCACAATAAATCCCATCCTTAACAGATTAAATATCATGAAAACTAAAATATAATGACGTTAGCCAGGTAACCTGTCTGTCCCACACCCCCTTAAACACCTAGGAAAAAGCCTGCTACTATAGTTATAAGTCAGTTTCCTCTGGGGAAGAAGATCCAGGCCAGACTCTCTTCTCTTTCACACAGCCCCTATGAGACAGAAGCAGAACCCTTGTCATAGGTAGGTTATTATCAAGGTGTCAAATACTGGACTAGAAGAAAGTGGCCTTGAATAACCTTTATCTAATTATCTTTTCTCAAAAAAAAAAAAAAAAGGGGGGGGGGGAGATCAGGGATTGACTGCATGGGTTGGTACACAGAGGGAAACAACCCTCTATCATCTGCACATGATCAGAAGTACCATGACCAGTTAACTTAGAACATCATGAAGACATGGGGCCTGCCCATTTGAAGCTTACATTCTAACATAAGGAAAAATCGTAACAGCACTTGATGAATGAAAAGATCGATAAATAAGAAAGGCAAAAGGCAGGACAGAGCCTAATAAGATGAGCAGGACTTAGCTGGATAAGCCAATAAAAAAATGATTTTAGGAATAAAATAAAACAAAAATTCCTACCTAATTCTTTTCACTGTGTCGATAAGAATTTGGAAACTTGGTTAATTTTGTCAATTTAAATATCAGTAAAAGAAGTCGACCAATTTAACCTGTTTAATTGCAAGGACCCAAAGAACAAAAGCAGTTAAGAACAACCCAGTATCTGTAAGACACAGTCTGAATCTCTGCACTAAGTGTGATGCCATTCAGTCACTAACTGCCATGGCTGGGAAGGGATCCAAGTAAAAATTTAACAGTGGCTGAAAAAGGAGGGCACAGGGTGAGGGACTCCAAAATCCACGACTTAAAATCCCTAAACTTGAAACCCACTCATAAACCTCCCCAAATCCATCTGGCACAACCACCACTATGTTTTAAAGCAGCCTGCTCTCCCCAAGCCTGAATCAGCCCGCAGAAGACAGACATGCCAACCTGAATGACTCTGCTCTGCATCACTCTCTAGGTTGCCAAATTTAGGCAGAAACACATCCATTCACCTTCCCAGAGCTTTCTAGAATATGCCTAGTGTCACGAGTTGTCTATATCCTGTCACTTGACTCAGTAAACTCACAGTTCATTTAACACACAGAAACAGATCACAAGCCAACCTCCGCTGCAGGCCCCCTTCTCCCGAGTCACACACGGTGCTGGCTGCCAAGGACACCTCTGACTAAAAACACGAACACTGAGATCAGTGCATGTCAGATATGTTTGGGGTAGAGTTAACAGCTTGCTTAGAAGAGCAAGTCTTCCACACTGATAACTAACTGTCAGAACCACCTCAGCATGTGCTCTGCCTAGATAATGCAGGAGATTCTTGCTCAACTTCTCCTTAAAGTTAGCGAATTCATCAGGAGTTAGACGGATCTAAGGGAGGTACACATTCCACTGCCTTCCGTAACCAGAAGGAAAGGAAATAATGAAGGTTTTTACAGTCCAGTCGCTCAGTCACCGAGAGTACCAGGACACCAGGCCTCAGTCTGAACTCTTCTCTGCGGTCGGGCTGAGGCCCACTCTGGTCATTTGTTCATTCTCATTTTTCATGGCCTGTGCTGTGGCAATCAGAAACACTTTTGGATAAGGCAACAGTTCCTTAAATAACATGCCCATGGCATTTTTCTTCTTTTTGTTACTGTGATAGCTAACGAAAGGAGCCTCCTACTCTTACGGAGTTTGCAGAGACTGAATTCTAGAATAAAAATGGAACTGGCTCATCCTGAGAATGGCGTAGCAAGCAATGATCTTTAAAGTGCACACATAGAAGACAGAGTTGGGCGCACTCTTGCTGTGGAGGTCGGGTGGGAGCAGAGGGAGGGCAGGGAAGAAAGGACCAGGACCGGCAGCGCTGAGTTCTTTGGTTGCTGTCCCTGTCTCTAACCCACCCTTCCATGTAAGACATTTCACCAGCAGTTAGTTCATTGCCAGCCCTCACTGTTCGAATCTTAGCGGAGAAAAAGAATGTTGAAACGAAGGAAAATGAAATGGAATTCTACCAGTTTCTGGATTTTCTTCTTCTAACTGAAGTTCACTCAGAATCTAGGAAATAGTCCTTGGTTTAAATTAAAAGTGGGAGAAGCATGGCACATTAAGGTAGCAGATAGCTGGAAAAAGAAGGAAATCAAGGAGACCATAGTTAGGTTTACCTGAAGGTGATCACTTTTGTAAAGAGGAGAGTCCGTGAAAATGCAGCAAGCAGGCTGGTCCCCGGGGTTCCAAGGAATGAGGGAACTGCAGTTTCCATGCTGACCCTACCTTAACATCTGGGTCCCTTGGAGCAAAGAAGCTGCTTCATCTTCCTTGAAGACCCAGGAGGAGGAATGCATCTGACTCAGTTTTAATACCAATACTTGGTAAAGTGGTAAGATGTCTGTAAAATGCTTTGAGTGCCCAGGAAACAAATCAGAGGCAATAATAATAATAAAATAATAGTAACATAGATGGGGGGGGGACATTTTATGAACTATATAGATGTCTAATCAATGTACCGTATACTTGAAACAAATTAAAATAGTCATAGAGATATAAAGGCTAACATAAAAAGTATAATGAATAATATTATAATAACTATGTATGGTGTCAGATGGGTACTAGATTTGTTGGGGTGATCACTTTCTGAGTTTTATAGATGTCTAATCACTATGTTGTACACCTGAAACTAATATAATATTGTGTGCCAACTATAATTGAAAAATAAAAGTTATTTCAAAAGTTTTTAAAAATTTAAAAAATAATAGTAACATAAAATAAAAACACATATCACAGAATCAAAGAAAAGAGAAATGAGTCATTGAGAAACAGGGACATCACTTCTCCAGGTGACCAAGAGCTTCCTGGAGCTGCCCACGGCCCACATTCTGCTGAGCCCTTTCACCTAGAATGAGCCCGCACAATGGCTTGCTGTGGCAAGAGACCTAGCTTCGGCTCTCATCTATAACTACAGCCATGTCCTAAGTTACCCTCTGGAACAGATGCTGAGGGAGACAAAGGGTGAGGAATGCTCAGGATATACTTCTTGGTATACTGTCTATCTTGAGAGAAAGGGATTTAAACCAACAGAATAGTACCTAGGTTGATGTACACCAGATAATAATACAAAAGATACACTGACCTATTAAAAAGTCATTTAATGTGTATTCCAGGATGGCCAATACAAGCTGGTTAGGTAATTAGCCCTTGAAGAGTTCTTTTTATAGTCATATAAAAATGTTTTACTGTTTAAAAAGAAGAAATCTAGTATAACAAAAACATATCCACCAATGGTTTGTATTTTTTTCCCATTTTCAGGTTTGCAAGATAATTAAAAATACATACATTGCATCTCTGAGCACATCACTGTCCGTTAGCTAATCAGTTTCGGCAACACACTGCACAGAGGTATACCACCATTGGTTTCTGACATTAAGTTAGCTTTAAGCTTACTGGCTATGCCAACAACTGGAGGCAGTTTGGAACCCAGTCCCTGGAAAGCATTTGCAGGATTTACCACCCGTTTGCCTGACACCTTCTCAATGGTAAGAGGTCTAGGCACAGACTTGCTAATCCAAGGGTGTCTTAATGCTTGAGCTGGGGTCAGGCGGGCAGAAGGATCCCAGTGAAGACACCTTTTCAAAAACTCTATGAACAAATAGTCATCACACCCTTTCAGAGCTGTCACCCAGTCTTTGCTACCCGGGGGACCCCGCTTTTTACCCCGACGTGAGCGACCCCCCACAAGCACAACTCTCCCATCCGCCTGAGTAGTCACAGAACAGTAGCGAGGCAGGCCCTTGGAGTTAATAAAGTACTTGGCACGTTTGCTCTGCTCCAGAAGTTTGGGTGGTGGCATCCCTAGAAGCTCCATCATGCAGGCCAACTGGTCTCCTTCGTCCTCCCCAGGGAAGAGAGGGTGTCCTGTTAAAAGTTCTGCAAGGATGCAGCCAAAACTCCACATGTCAATAGGTGTGCTGTAGCGGCCTCCCAGGATGATCTCCGGAGCTCTGTAGAACCGAGACTGGATATACGTATAAAGCTTCTGGTATTCGAAACAGCTGGACCCAAAGTCGATGACCTTGGTCGCACTGCGCCCATGATGTTTCAGGAGAATGTTTTCTGGCTTCAGGTCACAGTGAATGATCTTATTTTTGTGGAGAGCATCTAAGGACTGCAAGATGGACTGAGCAAACTTGCGTACCAACTGGACGCTAAAGCCCTGAAACTTGTTTTTTTTAATTAGCTCATAAAGGTCTATGCTCAGCAATTCAAAGGCCATGCAAACATGGTTCCGGAATGTGAAACTTTCCAGCATGTGAATGACGTTCATGCTACCAGTTTTATCCTGCTTTCTAAGATGCTCCAAAATCCGGATCTCCTCAGCTGCTTGACGATGGAAACGCTTCTCATTGCGCACCATCTTCAGGGCCACGTACTGTCGAAGTTTGTGATCATAGACCCGGGCCACCTGTCCAAAACTCCCCTTGCCAATAATTTTCAGCACTTCATATCGATAAGCTAGATGGTCTCTAGGTACATGAATGTAAGCCCCATCTGCATCATCATACCCCCCATTATTGGGACCACCAATAACTCCATGTCTTTTTTTGGCATTTGGACCTACGAAGTAAATTTCTGGATAATTGATGATTTCCAGCTTCTCATAAGCAGTGAGATGGTGTTTATATTGCTTCAGTGCTTGTTCTGGAGTCAGAGGCACCGCTTTGGATGCTTTGGGTGAACTGCTGGACTTCACCGTATTCAAGCTATCTGAGCTTTTCCCCTGAGAAACGGTAGGAGAGCATTTTTCAGAGTCGTTGATGCCATCTGACTGAAAAGTATCAGATCTTCTGTTGCCAAATTCTTGAAACAGCTGTTCTACCTTCATTTCACCTCCATTCAGGAAGTGCTGAGTATGATCTCTCGTTAACTGTTCAGTGGTGATCTATGGAAAATAAAAATGAATGTAACGCTAAAAACAGTGGAAGGATGAAAGAATCCTCCCCCTGACTGAACAACAACAAAACATGTCCAGCCACTTAGGTTAAAACAACCCAAAAGTGAGATAAGAAAAGCAGAAGTCTCCAGAAACTTCTACGTATTAATCCTCAGGCCTCCTGAGTATTACAGCCACCCCTGCCCCTACATATGCCTTGCTTTGTTCAAGACAAGATGGTCTTTTTACCATACTCTAAACATGCTAGGTTCCTTCTAACAGGTATGTCTTTCTACTGAGAATCTTCTCTCCCCATCCACTCAAATTTTACACTGAAAGAGAGGCCCAATCCAAGTCCTCTCTCTTCCACTCAGAACTACCCCAAGCCCATACTCGTATCTTAATTGCAGCTGTTCAAGGCTATATACAAAATCTGGCACTTAATTATATATATACTGTCTCGTATTGTTTACTAATGGTTTCAAGTACCTTCCAAAATCTTAAGGGCATATAGCAGGATCAAAATAATGTATATTAAAGTGTTCTGTAAATGACAAAGTACTACTAAGGGACAGAATCAGGATTTGAACCCAGGTCTTCTGTCAGTCCAGGACCCTTCCCATTAACATAACTCACCTGCAGGTTCTCCTAGTGCCTGTACTACTCTCCAGTGGGGCTGAATGCTGGCCATGGCCTGGAATCAACCAAGGAGTCATCATCTACTCCCAGGTCCCTAAATAAATTATTGCAAGCTTCTAGCTCAGTTCATTGAATCAGAAAAGCTCTAAGCCAGAGAGAACACTTTGATCATCCAGGCCAATTTTTTGTTTATCTGACAGTGAGAGTCCAACGCTCTGGCATTTCTTATAAAACTCTCCTAGAGATAAAGGGTCTCTCTGTCTCCCTTTCATAGACACATACACCAACTCTTCCTCATCAAGAGGAAGGTGATAAAGCCATACTACTACCCTTTTTACTTGATTTTCTTTAACTTTTGCCTGCAAAGAACAGTAACTCACAGAAGAAAGCTCTACGTACTCCTCTGAAATGAAACAAGGTTCTTTGAAATTAGATGGAGGGGGAGAAAAGCAAAAAAGCTAAATGCTTAAAAAAAAAAAACCAACTAAGCTAAGAATGTTAAATGCTGTTGTTTAAAAAAAAATTCTAGGATACTGCAAAGAAGATCTACTGTTCTTAATGGAACCTGAAGAATTGTGCTCCTAATCTTTTTGACAATTTCCGGCAGTTTCTATGATCAGGGGTAGATAATTTCATGAGAGCGCTGAACGACAGTTATGATCTCTAAAAATATGATAAAAATTTAAAGATAATGATCCAAAGTGGCCAAACTTTTAAAAAAGCTGAATTGTAATATAAACTGTGCAAACAACACCTGGCCTATCACCTTAAATAAATGACATTTTAAAAGATGAAACTATAAACAACAAAAAAAAGATTAAAAATTTTAAGTGCTGGCATACTCTTTCAAAGACAGCTCCTAATCTAGGTTATAAAAGAACATTAGTTCCCACCTGCTCCTTTTAGGTCATTTAATCAATTTCAACATTTATGATATATTACAAAAGCAGCCAGTACAACTGTAGTCACACTGTGATACTTAGTTTTAAAGTAAAGAGATAAGATACGGACCAGGGCAAATCTCACTGATACCAAAATAGAGAACTACCACTGGTTGAAAAATTAAAATAGGGCTGCAGACAGAACCTAAATACCTTGCTAAAATGTCAGATCCAAGGCAACATTTTTCTCATTGGTAATTAAGTCAAATAATTATCTCTATTTTGGGGAAAGAAAAAAGAAAGGGTCCTACCCACCCATCCGACATACACATGAACATTTATTGTTCACTATTAGAAGTGCTAAAAAAAAATAACCACGAGTTCTCAAGGAACTACAATCTATTAGAAGATCCTTTGGCTGAATTGGGGAATTAAAATTGTTTGGTTCTAGGTACATTTACATGACAAAAATGACATGTGCATGCATCTCAGCCAGTTTTCCTTAAAATTCTCACTCTCTAACTTAAATGCATCTAAATATTCACTGCTAATCTTGGGAACACGTTCTGAAGAAATGTGAAGTCAGAAGGCCTGGGCTGAGATCCTGGCTATGCTGCTTAATCTTTATCCCAGTTTCTCAGCCTCAGTTTCTTTAACTGTAGCATCTAGACAGTAATACCTTGCAGGACGTTGTTGAATCGTGTGATAACGTGTGAAAGACCCTCACAAACTATAAAACGTGAAAACACTGGCAGCAATAATTCTCCATATACTACGGTTTAAACTTCTATACACTCTCCCTTTCCCCATTCAGTTGATTTCTTCTCTCTGTAGCGCCTGCCTCCATATTTCCAGTCTCTCTCCACCGGGCGTCTGGCACTAAATATGCCTTTTGCTCCATGCAGGTCCCTAAAACAGGCCTTCCCTTAGGGTGTACAGAAACACGTTAGCCACTTTCTCCCCCACATAAAACTTGCTTTCAATTTGCTATACAATGTGATGTGTTACCTCTCTAGAGATATTTCAACTTTAACAGAAGATCAAGGCCTTAACTCAAAGGAATGATTCTCTAGGAACTGCAGTCATCAATAAAGCTTAACCTAATAAAAGCTAGTAGGAAAGGTATTTGTGGTCCGGGGCCCACCCCTGGGCATTTCACCTACTCTGCCTACATGAAAGGCTGTGCTGGCTCTGGAGGTCTTCATTTCTGTTTGTGATAAAGAGAGGGTCTCAGGTACAGGACACTAATAAGAGCAGATACGTAACAGAAATTTAATTTCCATAGAACTATTACAAGATTAAGGATGCCATGTGGATTTCCCGACTCATGATTTTTCCTAAAAGCGAGCGTAAATCTCTCTTCCTGCAAATCAAGTCTTATTTTGCCCTCTGGAACTACACGGAAGTATCCAAATTTCATGTAAAATCCCTCAGATACCTAAAAGGGGCTGTGCGGCCCCCACCCTTTTTCTTGAGGTTCGTCATCCCCATTGCACCCTCTACCCCACACGGCTTGTGTCAGGTTCCCTCACGCATTCCTATTCACATTCTCAACACAGGCTGCACTTTGTCTCTCTTGAAGTGTAGCTCCCAGAACAGAACACGATACATCAGGTGGAGTCAGTCCACTCCGAATTATCCAGGCCTGTGAATCTGAAGAATTCCAGGAAGGAATTTTTCCACACAGGGAGAAGTTCTCTCCTTAGCTTTCTTTCCTTTCCTGTAAATAACTCAAATACTGGCCTGAATCAATTACGTATCAAGTCTGCTGTGCTATAAATAAAATCTTCCTTCCATTGTTCTAGGAGGAGCTATGATTTTCGAACAGGTATAATAAACTATTATACACAGAGTATATATAGTGTTTTAAAACACTATATATTTCTATTCTGGGTTTATAATCACAATAACCAAGCAAGGTATATAATCAACTATATCAAATATCTTAACTATGTAATTATATCCAGAGAGACAGATAATGCCAGATTAATCATGTTTTATTTAAGAATGCTTCACGTACACTGTTAATTTGGAGGTCTCTTGACATTTCAAATAGAATTTTCTACTGTGTTAATCAAGTCTTAAAGATCTTAAGAAATTCAGAAAAGAAAAAACCTTCCCATCCAGATATGAAACACTATCCTCTCCCTAGTTCTTGACCCAAAATCTCTGCAGCACAAAGCTTAACCTAATAAAAGCCTAGAAGCAGATAATTTATAGTTTACAATGAAAATGTAAGAGCATCTTGGATAAATGCTAAAAGACTTTTAGTGATGCTAAAAGACTGCAAAAATAGCAATAGGGTCTCAAAATGGAGTCATGGCATCATGAACTACGTGTCACCAAGAGGTCAAAAAGCATTTTTTATTCCCAGCAAAGTGTCCAAAGACTGTGTTGGAATCTAAAATCTTGTGTTTCCCAAAAACTGTTACTGAATACTATACATTAAGAAATTCATTGGGAGGAAATGGGGAAGGGATTAAGAAGTACAAACTTCCACTTAAAAAATAAATCACGGGAATATAAAGTACAGCACAGGGAATATAGTCAATAATATCATAATAACTATGTATGGTGCCAGATGGGTACTACACTTATCACTTTGATCACTTTGTAAGGTATACACATATTGAATTACTAAGCTGTACACCTGAAACTTATATAATATTGTATGTCTAGAATAATTAAAAATAAATTTAAAAAGAAAAAAATAAAACTAAAAAAATGATTCTCTTTAAAAGTAAGTATTGCTTTTTAATCCGTAGGGAAAAAAAATGCTAATCTATGAATTCAGGGATATTTTCTATTCCTTGTTTTTGTTAAATGGAGCCTTTGTAATACACTGTATATATCATCCTGTAAAAAAAATAAACATTACCTGGATAAAAGTAGTATATTATTTCTCTACTGTCATATATTTATCCCAGTGGTTGAAAGGAGTAGGTAGGCTCTAAATCAAAATCAATCTGAAAAGCTAAGCTCCCACCACAGAAATTATTCCAAAGTCAAGAGCCACAAATAAATACAAAGGATACAAAGAGTCTGAGTTGCCAGAGAGATGTAACTGTACCTTGAGCATTAAGTAGCACTTCCTCCTTTCCAAGACAATTACAGAGCAAAGAATGACTTCATCTACTTACATTTAGTCTTCTGGGTAGAGGTGGTTCAGAAGGATTGCAGAGAACGTTTGAACAGGGTGGGCATTTGGTTTCATCTATCATCATGAAGGTATCATAGACACCATCCCCCAATCTATTTGAAAGGATTATAGATAAAATCTGTCAGTAACTGAAGTACACAAATTTCTATTTCCAAAACATTCTATGTCTTAACTGCTTCGTATCTGCTACAAAGAATAATGAATATAAATAATTATCTATACTGCATTTTGGCACTGAATACAAACAACTAGGGTGTTTGGCATAGGAATAGAGGAAATTCAACTTTTTTTTTTTTTTTTAAGAGAGTACAGCATTTCTAGGTTTATATTTTGAAATAGTTAAAACAAGTCTTACTTTCTGGGTGTTGCTAAAAATGAAGGCTATCAAAAAAGGATCTCATTTAGCTTAGTACTTGAAAATAAAAGCTAGCTCAAATCTGAAGCCTAAAAACCAGAACAGAAGAAAAAAAAAAAAAGACAGAGGTAACTGTACTTTCAAGACTTGGATCCTAATCTCAGCTCTACCACTGGCTGCACTACATTCCTCCCGAGCCTGTTTTCCACATGTTGTAATGGAGAGAACAGTTCCAGTCTACACACTTCTGCATCTTACAGGCAGGAAATAAGAGGCCTTGTTAGGGCTGTGTTCTTTCAATTTATTTATTTACTTACCTATTTAACATTTACCTAACTTGTAGAAAAATACAGTGAAAACTACAGCAAATATTAAAGGGTTCTCTAAATTACAAAATGTACTGAATTTCACTTCTTTACCCACTGCATTTTCTGGTGGGTGGTGGAAGCTAAAGGCTAAATGATTAAGAATCATGTCTTCGTTCTTTAACACTGGCTCCACCATGGTAAGGGAACACAAAAGACAGAGAGGATTTATTTAATCCACAAGATAGCCTTGAATAATGTATTTCATCTGCCACCAAGAACATGAATTTCCCAGTTACACAAATCAGCATTTCATTGTATCATTTATACATGATGTACTGTGAATACAATGATGATGACCGGATTGCAGGGGTAGAATTTTTTAAAAATCTTTTAAGATATGCTAGAATATTTTAGTTGCCTGTAAAAACTGTTTTGTAAAATTAATTCTAGAGTTTTCTTAATTGATGTGTTATAGGAGTACAGAGTAAAAAATACAAATATTTTGGGGATGTTCTTTTTAAAAACATGCTTTCACATTCTGATAGAATCATTTATATCTTTAACGAAAACTGCTTCAACAACAAGAACTAAAAATTCTGGATGTGACTAACTCTGCCAACAGTATGAATAAAACAAAACGGGATAGGCAACCACATTTACAGAGAAAAAGAGAAAGAAGACCTACAAGATTTCTTATAAATCGCCAGAGAAAATTACTCAAGTCTCCACGCAAATATTGAGGAGTCCCTTCTCCCCATTTAGTTATAAAATACAATGCGAGGTGGAGAATCTCTCAAAATAGAACCCACTGAAAGCCGTATCAGCAGAAACCCTCACCTGCACATCCAAAGACAAACCGCACCCCTCACCGCAAAGCCCCAAGAGTTAAGCTCTTGGTCATCTGCTCTGAGCAACAGGGCTTCTCTGAAAGCGATCGCTCCCTGTCTCCCCCAGTTTGCTAAAAATCCCCACCCAAAGTCTGAGCTTCTAAGAGTTCCTTACTATATACTCCTGATCTAGGGCTTCAGAGATAACCTCGACGGTGGGAACCTCTAACTCCGCTCTAGCCCTCTCCCCGGCACACTGAGGGCTGGGGGAGGGGAGCTGATGAAGAGGATGAGGGGTGGGCTGGTCCCCGGGAGGGGGTCAGACCCCTTCCCTCGTCCCTCCTGCTGGAGGCCCAAGCCTTCCCCGCCCCCCGACTTTGACTGCCAGCGGCAGCCTCTCAATCCGGCGCCCCCAACCCGTTACCCGGTGGCGCCGTTACCTCCGCTGCTGGGGCGGGAGTCCGGCTCCGGGCGGCCCCGCATCCTTCCGCCCCGGCCCGCGAGCCGTGCCTCCCATCCCCTAGCTCAGAACCCCCCGGGGGGAGGGGCGGCGGTTGGAGGGTCCAGCGAGCAGCGTCCACTGCACTGGGGCGGCTGCTTCCCCGGCCGCGATGCTTCCCCAGGGACTCTGGTAGAGACACTGCAGCTCCGCGCGCCTTCGCTCGCGACTGGACCCAGCCGGGAGGAAAAGAGGAGCGGCAGGGTGGGCGGGGGAGCGGTGTGGTCGCCTAGCAACCGCGGCACGCCCCGGGAAATGCCTCTGCGCAGCGACGCGGCGACGCACGGGGGCGGGGTCCGAGGCCTCCCACCACCGCGCAGGCTCCGGGAGGTTCAAGTTTGAGAGGTGACTCTTCCGCAGCCGGGGTTCGCTGGCTGTGAGCTGAGCGCGTGGGGTCGCAGCCCGGAGATCGGAGAAAGGGTCCGGCGGCGTATTGTGGAAGTAGCACTTAGCCCCATTTCTACCTTAGAAGCCTGCTGCCCCTTAGCACATTGCAGGCTGGAGTTCTAAAACCTCTTGATTATGAATTAAAAATGAATTAAAAAAACGTAATTTCTTAGACTTCCCTAATGAGCCGCCCCCCCCCCGGGTAATGAGTTACGTAGGAGAGCAATAATAATAAATCCAGTTAGTAATACTGTACCAGAGCTTCCTAACATTACATTGTCTTATTTAATCTCGGTAACCATACCAGATGACAGCCCTCTTTTACAGATTTCTCTAGAATTCAGAATTTAAGTGGGGGATTGTCTGACTCCCCTGCAGGGGGATGCCACGGACGGTAGGGATCAGTGAGCTATTTTAGGGATGAGAAACTGAGGCCAGAGGAGCCGTGCTTTCTGGGGCTCTTCTAGTTGACGAAACCTAAACTAGAAGTCTGCAGACTCCCAGCCTCCCTCCTCCTGCACCCCCTTGGAAGGCTCTTCCTGTATTTTTCTTTAGAGAGAGGGAGTGGGGCGGTTGTGGGGCGGGGGATTGTCTTCCTTTTCTGAAAAGTTAAGACACCTTAGTAATACAGATATTAAGCGGATTTTGATAGTTGGAACGAAAGTGAGAGGGAAAGATGTTAAAGCAGAAAAACACAAGTGTTGTTTTCTTCAGCGTGGCATCCAATCGGGTTTTCTAAACCGGCAGAGCACGAGGCCATCTGACCCTTAAGAAGAAAACCAAAAGCCTTGTTCTCCAAATGCTGAACACGGGCGCCACCTGGCGTGAATGGGGACTTAGGGACTCATTGTCCCAAATCAGCATAGAGCATAGTCCATAAATAGAAAAATTTCCATCCAAGGTTCATTTCCGTGTGACTAAAATCATACTCCGTTTTCATGCCTCCAAATAAACATGCCCTTAAAATCCAAAGGCTCTTCACTTTATAAACCGTGAATGTGTTCGTTTGGGGAACTATTCTTTGTGACCAATGTTGTTTTAGCCTCTCTGATATAAATATAAATAAAAATATTTTCTTCCATGATGATTTAAAAAAATTTTCTAATTTTATGAATAAGGTTTTGTGGAGGTTTTTTGTCATCTCCCCACCCCCCAACTAGAACAATCCTGCTTTCATATGGGTTTGTATCTGAGCTCCTCTGGAATCATTTGTAGAAAGTTCCATGGCAACCAAAGGTTTGGACTAGATTGTTGCTGAAGTCCCTTTCAGCTCTAAGATTGCAAAATTCTATTAAATAATCACTGTTCTTCATAGTCATGTGAACACCTCAAACCACCTTACTGCCCTAAACATTTGAATGAGACTTACCCCATAAGTTTTCTTATTTCCTCATTCTGAATCACTGCTTTGAGAAGATTGAATCTCCCCAGTCTGTGTTCCAGACATTTCTCT